AGATGGTCTGCCAAGTCATTCCCTTGTGTCTCGGCTAGATCTGCGGGAGTGGAGTCCAGGTCCGACCGAAACCGAGCAACAATGGATGGGCCATTCTAGTAAACTCAGAAAAATCCCATTTGTCTCCAAATTGTGAATGATTCAAGGTACTCTTGACAAAATAGGTGCTCAGGCAGTGATCCGAAGCCACTTCCAGTTCAGAAGCTACTTCTGTAAATAACTGAAATGTCCCATCCCACCTCCAGAGGTGTTATGGTCTAGAGGGAAACACAACATTCTTGAATGTCTGGAATGCTGAATTCACAAACTGGCATGATACCTCCAGATAATAATTATTTTCAATAATTATTCAGGTGGGCTTGTGCTGATGGGAGATGAAATCCAAAACATAAATCCTCCAGACTCTACCTTCCTCAGCTCTTGACCAGCAACTGTTCCATTCAGTTACAGAAATGTAAAAAATGGAAGCTGAGCCTTTCCATTTGCTCAAGCTGACAGTTGTTTGTTTCCCTTCTCTGAGTTGTTTGCTTGCTTGCATTACAGTTGGTCAATGTAAGAACTTGTTCCTGAGTTAGCTTCCTACCCCAAACCCTTTGTAACATGTCTTTTTAGATTAGGGGTGGTGAACTATGGCCTTTTTATGACCTGTGGACTTCAACTCCCAGAATTCTTTTGCCAGCATGGCTGGCTCAGTTATTGTGGGAGCTGAACTCCACAAGTTATAAAAGGCCATAATTCTCCACCTCTGTTTTAAATGATAAATCAGAGATCTGGGCATCATGTATATGCCATTCAGGATCTTCAAAGCCACAGTGAGTTAAAATGCTTTTACGCTGAATAACATTAGGAGGGATGCATACTGGAGAAGACTGGAATTAGATGGAAAAATGACATACTGCAGGTTTCTTAAAGATGTGTAACGGGAGACTCATAACTTTTCTTCCCCCTTCCCTCCCCACTGTCTCCCCCCCCTCTTTTTTTTTTTTTTACAAAAATTCATTGTCTTTCTCTTTTTAGCTCTTCTGGGAAAAGAAACTAAGTGGCTTAAATGCCTTTGACATTGCAGAGGAGCTGGTGAAAACAATGGACCTTCCAAAGGGTTTGCAAGGTAATTTCAACAACTGCTGATGGTTGTGACCAGGTTCCTCGGATCACAAAGCTGATTATTTCATTGGGAATATTTTACACTCCACTTCTCCACTATCAAAAAAATTTCATGTTATGTTAAAAATAATTATTTTTTTCAAATAAATGATCCGGTCATAAAAATAAATGTCCAGATAGGTCAGATGTACAGAGCATTTTTAACACAAGGCCATAAATATATCTTCACTTGCTAGCTGCAAGAGTAAATTATCTTTTCATAAGCTATTATGTCACATAGGAGGTTAATGTTTATGTCTGTCCATATATTCATTTCAGTAATGAAAGCTTTAAATCTCTCTCGTTCCCAATCCTTGAATTGTGTTGAAAGGTTTCTAATAAAGGAGAATATTTGTAGCTCAGGATTTAAATGAGGGTCCTTGGTGCTCTGTGAACGTTGGTTATTTTCTTTAGGCCTTTTCATTACCCAAATGTCTGCAAGCAAACAGCCAAGCTCAAGAGAGCACCCAGGAATGCCCCATGAAGGGTTTCTGCCCCACCTTCTATATAAATTGCTGTTTCCTAGCCTCCATTTCAAAAGTGATCCAATCCTTTCAGATGCCAGCTTCCTTCCTTTCTGCACTTAGATGTCTCATCATAATCAGCTGCTGGAACTATTTGTTAAAAATACAAAATACATTTTTTAAATCTCACTATTTGGGTGGGATATGTATAAAATGAAATACTCATTTTGCACCCCTTATCCTCGGGAAAACAAAACAGAGCAAGGGAAGGGAAGCGTGCTGATTTTCAATCTGCTGAAAAGGGAGACCACAGGAAAGAGCTTAATTCTATCTCTTCTCCTAGAAGGCACAGGGCTTAACTGTTTGGAGGCTAATCCTGCCCTCTTACTGTTAGCTCTGCCTTCCGTAAAGGAGGAAAGGCTTTCCCTCTTAGTTGCATTTCTAGGCCAAGAGGTTAAAAGGAAGTAAAGGACAAAGAAATTTTTTACCAAAAAAAAAAAAAAAGTCTTAAAGAAGCTTTAGCTGTGGAATAGGGATTTAAATTTGAATTTCTGCTCACCACTCTAGCTATTGCCTGATACTGCTATCAGGCTATCAAGGAGTATATTTGCGCCTTAAACATGATCGTATTGATCAGTAGGAATTTTGTAATAGTATTAGCAAAAAAAAAAAAAAAAAAGGCAATCATTTATTAACTGTTATTGTGCTGTACCTCTTTAGGTGTGGGACCTGGATGTACTGATGAGACACTCCTTTCAGCCATTGCCAGTGCCCTGCATACCAGCACAATGCCCATCACTGGACAGCTTTCTGCTGCTGTTGAGAAAAATCCCGGGGTCTGGCTGAACACTTCTCAACCTCTCTGCAAAGCCTTCATGGTGACTGATGAAGACATCAGGTAGTAAAACCTGACTCCCAGGGCAGGAGGTGAATTTCTCCCCCTGGTGTTTTACGTAGTGCCATAATTTGTTAAATGATTAAAAGCATCTATGTTTCTGTCCTCAAAAATAATTAAATTGTTGTAATATGTGCGTTAATCACCTACAGTGGAGCCTGAGCATTCCCTCAGTCTAATTCACAAGCAGGGCTACAAATATTTGATGTTGTTTCCAGCAAGAGCAGATAATCTCTGTGCCCAGTTCCTGTCCTCCCTCTGTTCTAGAAAGCACACAAGAGTACCACAACTTCAGCCTGACCACAATTTGATCAATTGAGATATCTTTTCTTCTACAATGGTACCTCATTGTTAATTGGTTCCAGGAGGTGCGACGAGTAGTAAAACACGATGAGTTCCAGCAAGGCCGACTTCTTGTCCATTCTCCGTAGCTGACCCCCTTTTCCTATTGCAACACACCGAGTACCAAACAAACAAATACTGGGACAGCATTTTCATGTCAAAATGCATTGATTACTAAATTCGATGAGTTTTGAAGCTGTCAAATACCGAGCTACTTATTGGGGTCGTCCCGCCCATCATTTTGGTACGGGATTTATGACCAGCACGCTCACTAACAGCATTTGGGAAACAGTGCAGGAACTCTCTTAAGTGCTAAGGGCAAGTAAACATGCTGGCATCTAGCAATGCAACAGTATGCTCTGACCACGTACTGCATGACTCAGAAAGAAATCTGATAAGTGCTATGGCAGGCACGAAGCTGCTTGTAGCCACAGTGTAATAGCCTACATCCGTGATGGTAAACCTGTGGCCATATCTGAGGACACGCAAAGCGTTGCCCTGTCAGCTCCAGCTTGCATGTGCACACTGGCCAGCTGATTTTCAGCCTTGATTTTTGGCCATTTTTCGCCCTTCACTGAAGCCTCCGGAGGGCAAAAAACCAACCAACAGGCAACCTAGAAATCTGTTCCTAAACTTCTGGTTTGCGTGTTGGGCCATTTTTCACCCTCCCCAGGCTCGTAAAAAGCCTCTGGAGCCTGGGGAGGGTGAAAAATGGGCCTATCGGGCCCACTGGAAGTTGGAAAACAAGCTTCCAGAGGGGCGGGGGAGGCCATTTTTGCCCTCCCCAGGCTCCAAGAAAGGCTTCCACGCAGGCAGAGGGGGCGGGGGTCACGCACGCATGCGCAGGGGGCACGGTGCAGAGGGGCTTAAGGGAGTGGGCACATATACGCGATAGCACACACACACACACACGTGCTTTTGGCACCTGAGGCAAGAACGGTTCGCCATCACTGGCCTACATTGTAACCTACATTGTTGTTCTGCAGCATACATATGTAATAGCTGGATGACTTGCTGACTTCACCCCCACCAGTCAAATAGGAAACAGAATGGACAGATCTGAGATTTTGACTGGTAGGGAACAGAATCCCCAACACAACACCCGGGTATCATCCTTATACAAAAGAGAGCCCACATCAATGGTGAGAAGGAAGTCTGTACTATTGACAACTTACAGCAGTTCTTTAGATCAACTGCCCACTTTTCATGAATCTCACAAGTCTCCACAGCTAGATTATTACCTGCACGAATTCATAGGCTCCCTTTGTGCTTTTTGGCCTCTTTGCTCTCATTCCAATCTCACGAGATGGTGGTTGGGGAGAAATGAAGAAAGGAAGCACTGCCTATTCAACCTTGAATTACTGAAATGAAACACGGGATATAAAAGTGACCCTGTTATTCTTTGACAATTTACCTCTTCCCTAATAGCAGGGTTTCTCCGCTTATATCTGCTGCATGCTACAAAGGAATAGGTGCAACATGTGCTGGGGGCATTTATTTATCTATTTTTCTCTCTCCAGGAAGCAAGAAGAGCTGGTTCAGCAAGTGAGGAAGAGGCTAGAGGAAGCCTTGATGGCCGACATGCTTGCTCACGTGGAAGAGATAGCCAGGGATGGTGAGACTCCTGCAGTAAAGAGTAATGAAGAAGAGGAAGAGGAGGAGGAAGATGGTGATCGTGTACAGGAGATGGAGAATGTATAGTCCAGGTAGCACAGTTCCACTTTAATAACCTTTTCCCCATCACCCAGAGGTTTGCAGTACCGTGTTGGTGTTTTTCCCAATCCTCGAATCAGTTTCAAAGTGTCTTTATCCTACATTTCTTTATATTTATTGCCAAGCTCAATATTTGCAGTGAAGGATAGCATTTTTCAAGATTTTAAGAAAATACTTTTCCAAAATATTTCTTCCATTTCTATTTTAACTAGAAGGGACTTGAAGTGGGGATTAAGATGTATTGGTAGGTTCTTGGTCCTGAAGCCAAGTTGGCTTGGCCTGTTTTTTTGAATGGAGTGGCTCTACCCTTGACCTCTCCTGAACGTTGAATAGCAAGTGCACATGAACCTTCAGAACAGGAAAACATTTCTTGAACATAGAAATTATTTCACAACCCACCATAGTCACAGGCAGCCATTTTGATCTTGCTGCATGCTTGTATGGCAAGGTCTTCTTCACCATTATGATCATGGAATCATAGGGCTGGAGGGGGCTTTGGAGGTCTCTAGCCCAACCACCTATCCAAGCTAGGAATCTTATTACTCGCTCTCCCACCCCATCCCCGGTACCTCTTGGAGCCATATCTTCCATGCTTTGTAGCTGATCAAGTGTCTCTTTTCCTTCAGGGTGTTTTTTCCAAGACCTAGCCTGCACTTGGTCAACACAGAGGCAAGTGCATCTTCAGAATGCTGTGCACTAACTGTATCTGCGTGTGTGAACGTGTTTGGCTTCAGTTCACAAGAAGCTGAAGGGACCAATCAGACTGAGTAGTTTGGAGAAGAATTTGCTGAGCTCAGTTTTTTTCTTTCCTCTGCCCTCTCATTTTTCTCTTAAAAAGTATCACAGGGCAACAGAGGAATCAAAAAAGTTATTCACGAATTGTGAACATAATCCCTTTGTCTCATTTCCAGTCTAGCAGTTGAAACAGGTTTCCCAAGTCTCTTTTCTAATAGTGTCTGTACATGCCCTAAACAAATTGGTTTAGCCCAGAGATGCCAGGAAGAAATTCTTCTTAGGTTTTCTCTACATATTTGAAGTCACATATAACAAAATATTTTTGGTGGCATAGGTAAACTATTCCACTTGTAAAATCTTGCTGTGGTGATCTTCATTTTCTTATCTGATTGTTTAATATGGGTTCATTTTATTTGCTTAAAAAAAAACCCTCCCATCAACAGAACGTGCCTTTCCATATGGACTGGGAAATTGATCGCCCGAAGCTATACAAATCCATGTTTTGGTCAAAATCCCCTTCTTCTGCATGAATATAATATGACATAGAACTAAAATTCATGCAGGGTTTTATGAGCACAAACCATTGTGGAAAGAATATTAAATGATGACAATAATTACCCAATCAGAGAAAGTGTAACCAAAAGGTGCTGTGTGAGTTTTTTGCAACTATTTGAAAGAAAGGATTACTTAGTGCTATTGACCTCCTCTTGTTTTATAATTGAATTGGTTGCTTTTGGGGGAGGGGGGATTCCTTTGTCTCATATAATTAAATGCTTTTCAGAAGTAGTAATATTAGATTGCTAACATAGTTGAGGAGAAGCAAATAAAGCAGGCCAGTTGTAAATGACACAGAATTTGCCTTAATGAATTCCACCTCTGCTGGGATTGGGTTACTAGAAACATAAATGATACCATCTTTGCTCTTGCTTGCTTCCTAATGCATACTGTCTCTAAATAAACTGTCATCAACACGATACTAAATTTTCAGAGCTGGATTTTAAATTTCAGGATTAGATGACAGTACTACAACTCTTTTTTTTAAAAAAGTCAGGGCTGATGGAAACCCTCTTCTTGAATCCTGATTAGATTTTATGTATTTTGGAAATGTGGGGTGTATCTTCCCTTTTTAATTCCCAAAGTTAGAAATATGATCTTGGGCCCAATATACAGTAGCTCTTTTCATTTTGGATTTGTAAACAAAAGAAATTCAGGATTTTGGTCCAGTAGTCTCTATTTAATTGTTTTCCAATTTTTGAGTATTGGTTGGAATCCATCATGTATATTTCTCTTCTGCTCTTGCATGCACATAAGAGTTAGTCCCTGCTTGGTTTCTTTTCTTTGCTTATTTGTGAAGCAAACCTCTTGGCATATAATTCCTAGGAAATGTCATAAATTATTGCTTTAAGCTTTTTATGCTGCAAAATCATGTTGCGTGCTTAAGTCGTGCTAGGATGAAACTGCAACTAGTACGCAATTGTATAAAAGCCCTGTTGAAAAGGAAATGCAGTCGGGCTGTCTTCACAGAATCCTCAAGCCAGATTGATGCATTTATTTCCTTTTTAACCAATGATTTGATAGTGTGATGTTCATTAACAAGAATTTAGAAAATTCTTCAATTCTTTGTCTTTCAAATACACACTCATCACCACTGTCGCCACCTTACCACTGATATGTACCTTAATTGTAACAGTATCTTAATGTACAGTCTTGTTGGGGAATATTAGTTTTGTAATAAAATGTTTTTCATACATTTAATTTTTCATGCATTTAATGTTTTTGAGAAAATATAGTGAAATATGAATAGCATAATTCCTCAAATAATGTTACTTCCAATCATAGACTTGGAAAAGAGGTGAAGTTAAAAAAAAAGTATGTAGCAGTCATAATGAGAGGTTCAAAGCAGGCAGGAGTGCTAGAGAATTCCTGGGTTAGGTAATGGTGGTCATTAGATTAGATGACCGGTTGAAATTTAATATTTGTATCTTTATGAGTAAAGGAAGCCCACTAAATATTTGCATGGAAACAACAAGAGAATGAAACTTTAGCTTTTCATTCCCTACTTGGGAGTATTTTAGAACTCCAAATGGTCAGATTCTTCCTTACAGGACAACATTACAATTGTAGTTAGTTGTTTTTTTAATGTAAATAAAAAAAGAATAGAGAGCCAGTTTGGTTCGGTGGTTAAGGCACCAGACTAGAAACCAGGAAAACATGGCCATGGTCACAAAGCCAGTTGGGTGACCCTGGGCCAGTCCCTTTCTCACCTTTAGAAAAAGACTTAAAAACTTGGCAAACTGCTTTCAAAAACTTGCAAAGAAAACTGCAGGGACCTGTCCAGTCACCAGGAATCAGCACTCAAAAAAAGCATAACTGATGTATAAAAATAAATGCTTGCCAATGGCTTCTGTTCAGACAGGATGGAGATCAGTTGTGACAGAAATGTATTTCCAGGCTCAACAAACTTACTAACATTATTTACAGGGAAGCCAGAAATGAGTGAAGCCTTTTTACCTTATTTTGTTTAAAGGTTTCTCATAATCAAGTTACTAGGAATGAATAGGTTGATAGTCTGATCAGCATTGCTAAGGTACAAGAATAGCTATTTTTGAGAACTGCTATAAGCCACAGGGTTGAAGTTGTGTCTCTTGCCCAGTGAAAAAGTTGGAGAGTGGGAATAAAAGATGTAACTTCTTAAAGGGATACTTTCCTATCCAGCAAATTAGGGAATATGTGAATGGTTTTTCCTGCTTGAATGCTAATTATGAATATCTCCAAATATCACACCAAAATATTAATAAAAAGGACTAGATGCTTATTTGTAACAAGCATTCTCAGGTACAAAATACTTCCTTCCCTTACATAGGAGGAGGAGGCTAATCTTCATGGCTGATACATTCTGCCTGTTAACAGGGCCTAAAAGAGTAAGTTTTTGTAACAATCAGGCTTGGATCTATATCAATGTTTCCTGATAACTGCAGCAGTGCCACCTGTGTGCCAACTTTTATAGAGCTATTATTACAAAATTGAAAATCTGAATTTTTTCAGTATCTGAAATGTTTAGAAAAGGGAGCTCAGTCATAATGACACGCTTATAGCCCTGTAGCCGATCTATGAGCTCCATAAATGATCACTACACAACTCCAGGCTTGGTCAAGCAGCAGTGGACAAGAATTAGAACAGCTAACCCCACTGATCAAGGACCTGCTCAGTTGAATGTAGCAGCAAGCAAGAGTTGCATCTCTCATCCCAAACTCTACAAGTGGCTTAATTCATGCATGGCATTAGTACCTCATTTATTAAGTGGCAACCGGCTGGAGCATAATCCTATTGAAAAAATTGCATTGGTTGAATTCCTACGCCACTGAGCTACACACAAAAGTGTCAGACACATTAAACCTTCCTGTTTGCTTAACCTAAGTGCATGTGCCAGACCTTCTATATAGTTCCTAGACACAATCTCAGATAAGCATCTGAATCCTGAGTAGCTAATACTTTTCATTTACTCAAGTGGAAATGGCAATTGCTCTGATCTGGATGATACATTTAATCCTTTAAAAGCTTCCAGTAGTAAAGTATGTAGTAAGAAAGTAGCATTCATATTAACCAGCCATGGCTTACTCTGCACAAGTGTTCCATTTGTTAGGAATGTGTAAATTCACCCACAGTATAACCCAAAGCAGACGTGTATATGTCCAAAAGGATTTTGAACAATGAAACTAATTGATTTAGCTTCCTTCATCTTCATTGGAAGTATCCTGCATATCAAGGTTTATTAAACTTGTATCTGGAAACATCAATTCCCAGATGTCAGTGTTTCTCAACCTTGGCAGCTTTGAGATAGGTGGACTTTCCACTCTCAAAATTCCCTAGCCAGCATACCTGGGAGTTGCAGTCTACATATCTTAAAGCTGCCGAAGTTGAGAAACACTGAACTATGTTGACTGGAGAATATGGGGATCAGCACGAGGTTGGAGAAGTCTACTTTATGTTAGAATCCACACCTTGTGTTAAATAAAAATTTGTCAAGTACTGCCAACATTTGGTTCACTTGTACCAAAACATTAATGTTGGATTGTGTCTGTGACCCTCTTCAGAGAAAATGGGCCTTGCAGAATGATTGTCTGAAGGCTGGCAAATGCTTATAGCATCCATTTCCCCCTTTTAAAGATACAAGCCTCCCCGCTCCATTAGCTCACATCATCAAAAAGTTATTCCAACATCTTATGCAGAGAAGATACGAACCCTCATTTTATCTGGAGGCTATGATTCTGCCTTCCAACGAAGGAGGGCAGTAGGAAGGCTGCAAGAAATGGAAGGGATGATAAATTTTATTTTCCTGGGCTCCAAGATGACTGGGGTCAAGAACATAAAAGACACTTGCTTCTTGGGAGGAAGGCTACAGTAAACCTAGGCAGCATATTAAAAAGCAAAGACAAAAATCTGTATAGTCAGAGCTACGATTTTCCCAGTAAAGATGCATGGTTGGGAGGGTTGGACCATAAGGCAGAGCATCGAAGAATTGTTGCTTTCAAATTGTGGTGCCTGAGAATATTCTTGAGAGTCCCTTGAACTGCAGGGAGATCAAATAACCCTAAAAGAAACCAACCCTGATTGTTCTTTGGAAGAACAGCTGCTGAAGCTGAAACTCAAAAGACTTTGGCCACCTAATGAGAAGAAAAGACTCTTTAGAAAAAAAGACCCTGTTGGATAAGATGGAAGGCAAAAGGAGGAGGGAACTGCATAGGATGACATGGTTAGATAAAGTGACTTACAGCTGGCCCTTGCACTTATGACCCCCATGGTCACATGATCAGAATTTGGGTACTTGGCAACCGGCATGTATTTACAATGGTTGCAACATTCTGGGGACCCACAATACCTTTTGTGACTTTCCAATAGGCAAAGTCAATGGAGGAGCCAGATTCCTTTGATGCCCACATGCACAATTTGCTTATCAACTGCAGTGATTTGCTTAACAGTCATGGCAAAAGGGGTCATAAAATTGTTGGTAGCTAACTTAATAACCACCTTATCAACAGAAATTCTGACTCCATTTATATTTGTAAGTGGAGGACTACCTGTATATTATTTTACACAATGGGTATCATTTGTTTGATATTTTTGTCACCTTGATGTTTTGGAAGATGATTTACAAGACAAGTGATGTTCATATATTCTTTCAGTCCTGAAAGCCAGATAGTAACTTGAAAAACTTGAGACAAGTTTATTTACTTGTGGCCAGTTGCATCTTTTTACAATTTTATTTGCCTCCCCACCCCCCCTCCGGTTCCTCTCCATCCACATGATGGAACAAGACATTTACGGACTAAGTATGAACATCCCCTTATCACATCAGCATGTTTTAAGTCCAATTTAGAAGGAAGGCAGCCTCCTTGTTGCTTTTGTTCAATCACTAAGTCATGTCTGACCCTTTGTGACCTCATGGACCACAGCACGAGGCCCCCTGTCCTCCACTGTCTCCCAGTTTGTCCAAATTCATGTTCATTGTGTTGATATCACTTCTCAATAAGTGTGAAGATAGCATCCATGCATGGGTTAACATGGTCCGTGTTCTCATTGGACTGTCTGATTAATTAATTAATTCCCTATATAACCTGCCCCTGTGAGTGATTCCACCCAGCTTTCGACTCAGTCCACTCTGGGACGGTCGTGTTATCCATAGTTCTCTCAACTTCTCAATCTCTATATTATTTATAATAAAACTTCTTTTACCACATTGTTGACATTGCGTGAGTAATTTGGACACTTTGCCACCCATTGGCCACCGGGCCTTGGCCCACAGGCCCACGCGCTATCTCTCCACTTGTGGGGAGGGGCGCTGCCTCACCCTTTACTGAGCCGCGTGAACGGGAGAATCGCCTCACCATGGACAGCCATTAAGCAGCTTTGTCTGTTAGGCTTACCACGCTGAACCATGGGACCAGGACACAAGGTGAGGCCCCAGTGTTCCAATACGAGTCTCGGTGTGGGCAGCGGGCGCAGAAGAGTGCCTGTAGCACGGTCAGCTCCTTTCCGTTCCCTCGGCTGATTCAAGGCTTCATGGGAGGAGTGCGTGCAGCCGTACGGAGGCAAGATCGGCCCCAGGAGCGAGGGCTCATCAGGCGGCCCAACACTGCTCCATGAGGCCAGAACTTTGTTAAGGAGGCGCAAAAGCTCAGGAGACCCTGAAAGGGGCGTCATTTAGGAGAGGGCGGAGCTGAGCGAGGCAGTCACGGCTGCCATTTTGTCTCCCGCTTTGAGCCGGAAAGCAGCATGGCCGATAGCAGTGTACCTGAGCTCTCGACTGATGCGGGCAGGAGCATGACGGAGGCAAACCCTGGGCTTCTGTCAGGACAGGCTCCTCGTTCCCCCTTGCAACCTTCACCATTGCAGGCCCACTCGGAAGGGAAGACAAACAGTAAGAGTTCATCCTCCCACAAAAACGCTAAGCCCAAGAAGGCCTTCAAATCAGCGTCAAACACCAAGCATCTGGAGAAGCCTGGGCCTTTGCAGCACCGCCTAGTCACCCTGGCCCAGTGACCCCATTACAACTAGAGGTGTCCCAGGGCCCGTTCAGCCCAATGCTGCCCATTGACATGTCGGAGCTCTGGGGCAACACCGCCCCGCAACCGCAAAGCAGGGCCAGGGAGGCCACCTTTACCCCAACTTAGGCCGGCCTCCGCCCGGAAGGGCAGTTGGACCCCTTTCCCTCTTGTGTATCCCATGTCTGGATTGCCATCCACGGCTTCCGCCTT